AAAAAAAAAAAAAAAGGGTTTACTGGTCAGTAAAAGACTGAAGGAACCTAAGACTATGTTCTTGACTACTCTTCAGGTCTAGAAAGGAACTCACCTTGTTGCCCAATTTTCAGGAAAATAGTAGCTAGATTTATAAGGAGTACAACAGTACAGATGAGTCATGGAATGGCCAAGCACTCAAAATCAAAAGGGCAACATTTTCCAAAGGACAAAGTTGAGAAGGGATGGGAAAGGGGGTGGAATGCAAATAGACTCACAGGGAGAAAGTGGGATAACTTGTTGCAAGGAGGGGATTGTAACTATCGGGGATGAAACAACGAGTAGGATTTGTTAAATGTAAAGCTGGTGATCTTGTCTGTAAACCTTCACTCAAGTCACAATAAAAAGTTTTTTTGTTTTGTTTTGTTTTTTTAACAAAGAAAGAAAGAATACAACCCTGGCACATACCCTTCCTGGTTTTCAACAATTCAGTGTCCCCTTGTTTTGTTTAAACAACTGCCTCCTGGTCTATGTACAAGTTCTGAATGAGCACAATTAACTGTTTTGGAATACCCATTTCTCACAATGTTATCCATAGCTTGTCATGAGTTACATAGTCAAAATCTTTGCATAGTTAATAAAGCGCAGGTAAACTTGGGGGTGGGGGTGGGGGAAGAACAACTGTCTTGAAAGAAATATAGTCAGAAAGATTCTTAAAAGTGAGGATACCAAGACTTTGTCTCTCGTACTCTGGACAAAAAGAATCAGTCCCAGGAGAAGGACATCATGCTTGGTAGAGTGGAGGATCAGCAAAAAAGAAAAGAAAAGAAAAAAGGAAGACCTTCAGTGAGATGAATTGGCACAGTGGCAACAACAATGGACTCAAATGTAACAACGTATGTGAAGATGGTACAGGACTGGATAGTATATTGTTCTGTTGTGCATAGGGTCACTATGAGTTGGAACCGACTCTCTGGCACCTAACAACAGCATGGCTATAATTTTTTCAATGAAAAATAAATGTTGACAAGAATGTAGAGAAATTGGAATCTTCATCCATTACTGGTACGAATGTAAAATGACACAGCAGCTGTGGAAGACAATTTGACATTTCCAACAATAGTTAGAGATGATGATGTTATCCAGCAAGTCCCCCCATCAGTATATACCTATACCCCAGGGAAAGGAAAACAGGTACTCAGACAAATACATGTACCCACGCAGTCATAGCAGCCAAAAGGTGGAGAAAGTTCAAATACTCATCAATGGATAAAGAAAATGTGACTTATCTGTACAATGAAATATTATTCAGCTTTGCGTACTAACACGCGGATGGACCTTGAAAATCTTACCTGTGTTATGTGCAAGAAACCAGATACAAAATGTCACATATTGTATGCTTCTATTTATATGAAATATCCAGAATAGGCAAATCCTTGGAGTCAAAAACATAATAACAGTTGCCAAGAACTGGGGGGAGGGAGAAAGTCAGTCCTTAACGGGGAGGCGATTTTCTTTGGGGAATGATGAAAATATCTTAGAAACAGAGGTGGTGGTTGCACAACATTGTTCATTTAAAAATGGTTATGTTCAGTAAACTTTAACTTTTTAAAAAGGAGAATAAGCTCCCTTGTACAGGTATTGTGACTTTGGAGGGCAGGGTTGGACTGGAGACTTCGAATGGAAGGAGGCGCAAGGCACGCTTCTCCGCCTCTCCGTGCGGGCAGTGTACCCCCACTCCACACGAACAAGTGAATATTTGTTGTTGTTGTTAAGTGCCGTCGAGTTGGTTCCGACCTATAGCAACCCTGTACAGGGTTTCCAAGGAGCGGCTGGTGAGCTTGAACCGCCGAACTTAAGGTTCAAATTGACTTTGCAGTCCGGTGCATTAATCCATAGCAACACACCAGGACTCCAAGTGAATATTGTTATTGTTATGTCAAAGGTGTGTGTTTTCTTCAGTGTTTATCTCCTCAGTGTATTGTTGTTGTTATTATGTGCCGTGGAGTCGGTTCTGACTCATAGCGACCCTGCATAGGGTTTCCGAGGCTGTAAATCTTTACGAAAGCAAAAAGCTCCATCTTTCTCCCGCGGAACAGCTGGTAGTTTCGAACAGCTGACCTTGCGGTTCGCAACCCGATTCGTAACCACTACGCTATTCCGAATCTAGGGGGAAAATATCCTGAGGGAATGATAACAAAGGTAGAAAGAGAGAGGCAGAACACTCAGCTCCTGACTTTGTCACTCTTACAAAACCAAGCTCCCTAGGTCCAGACCTAAGCTCTGACGCAGTATCGCTTTTGGAGACCGAAGGGGCGGGGTCGAGGCCAAAGGGGCGTTTCGAGGGCAAGGAGTGGGCCGCTCCTGCTTGGGCACGCCCACGTACGAGGTCTGCCCGGAAGGAAACCGGAACCTCTGTGCTGGCGGAGGTTGTTTCCTAAGGGACGTTAGGTATGAAGTTAGACTCGCCACGCTAAGAAGCTTGTTTCCGGCGTCTACTTGTCTCGCTGACGACGATGCGGCAGAAGCACTATCTTGAGGCTGCGGCGCGAAAACTACACGCCAGCTGTCCGGGTCAAGCCCGCTATCTCCTGTAAGAGAAGGATGGGAGGGGAAGCGGGAGGTGAGCGGCCCCAGGCGTTCCTTTGTCCCCTCACGAGTCTCTTTCTCTCTTGCAGCTGGGCCTACAGTTGGTCACAAGGTAGGGAGAACCACCCCCTGGTTTTGGATCAGGGTCTCGCCACCCGCCCGCTGCATTCGGTCCCGCGCTCAGAATGATCCCAAAGAGATGCGATTCATACGCATCCGTCATAAAACCACCCAGCGCTTCTCAGCAAGTCCTGTCGACTTAAAAACCTATCCAGAAGCCAGCCACTTCGCAACATGCCACCAACCTAGTCCAAGCCACCACTGTCTCGTAGATTGAAAGTTTATTCTTAACCTAGCAGCCAGAGTAAACCGGGATAAAAGTCTAAGCTAGTTCTCGTCAGTTTCCAGCTGCAAACTCAAAAGGCTTCCCAATGGAGTCAAAGTCCTTTGAAAGGACGAGGCTTTACATCTTAGACCCTCGTTAGCTTCCTGTGACCGACCTGCTCTTCCCACTTTGTTCCCTCAATTCCAGACGCTCTAGACCTCTTGGCTCTTTTGTTTGAGCACCTTTGCAGCTGCCCTGTCCGTCTGCGTACAAGGCTTGTCACATCTGCTTGATTTCATTCCTCGCTTCCTTCTGGTCCCCATGCAAATATGGATTCAATGATACTTGGACGCTCTATTTAAAGTTAAGCAGCTCCATTGCCATTCCCCTCTTCCCATCTAAGGTTTTTTCCCTAGCATTAAACATATAATGTTGTTGTAGTATCTCCATGAATTGTTATCCTGTATTAGTTTATTTCCAGCACCCAGAAGATGTTGGTTGCTGTGTTTGTTGTTAGTGCCGTCGAGTCAATTCCCATCAAACTTGTATAGGGTTTCCGAGGGACAGCTGGTGAGCTTAAACCACCGACCTTGCAGTTCTCTGTTCCAAACATAGCGACCCTGTGTGACAGAGGATAATTGCCCCATGGGGTTTTCTTGGCTTGAATGTTTATGGAAGCAGGTTGCGGTAATAGTCACCCAGTACATATGAATGCGTTTGACCATTTGGCAGAATAAAGTTAGGACCATGGGCTAGTCCTCAGCTTTTATTGTGCTATTTTGCACTTGGACTTATGGTGTGGTGCTGTAGGATAAGCACTGGACTTCGAACCACAAGGTTGGTGGTTCAAACCTACCAGCTGCTCTACAGAAGCCCTGTCCGTGGTCTCTATGAGTGAGAATTGACTCCTAGTCACTTAACAACAATCTAGAACTTAGCATAGTGCTTAACAGTAGGTGTTCAGTAAATGTTCATTGTGTGCTCACCTTCCTCTCTAGCCACACCAGACCCTTTCCCTTAACAGCCATGCCCTTTCTCATTTTCAGTGTATTTCTACTAGAGGACTCTTTACCAATAATGAGTATCATCTCCAAATATAGGCACAGTTTATATTCATATGTGACAAACTGTCAAGCCTCTGCCTTAAAATATTTCTAGCTAGTCCTTGCAGCATGTACATTTCTGAGGCATTTTGACATTCTGTTTTTGTTAGCCCTTTTACCTTCATTTGTTTAGACTTCTCCCCTGGCATGTGACTTCTTTATTGATGGGAACACACTTACTTCCATACTTGTATCTCCACAGCCGAGCATGGGAGATGGTCAACAAGGGCTTTCTTGACTGTATAAAAGACTTGGGGAAAGTCTGTTCTCCTGGGCTATATGCAGGCAGAGCTCAGCCCACCAACCACAAAATTGTCCTTAACCATTCAAAACAGTCTCACAGAAATTTGCTCTTATTTTGTGTTAAATGTGTGGTTACATAATACCAAAGAAATGGACCTACCTATGTTACTGAAAAGAGTGAATTGTGTGGTGCTGCAGGTTAATGCAAAGTCGCCTTGAACTGCAAGGTTGGTGGTTCAAGCTCACCAGCCACTCCTTGGAAACCCTATAAAGGGTCCTTATGAGTTGGAACCATCTCAAGAGCACTTAACAACAACAGTTTGCAAAAGAAATTGTTGCCAGTTTATTATTTTGTAAATTTTCCTATTTTGAGTTTATTCCAGGAGAGTGCATATTGGCTCATATTATATTAGCTGTCAAGACATACTTTGCTTTTGCTCACTTACAGTGTGGGTAACATTTGATGTAACAGTATGCTCTGATTTGCTGAATCATGACTTTCATTTGTGTAATTTTAGATGCTAAGAACACTTTTGAAGAAACATGTCCATACTGCTTCCAGTTGCTGGTACTAGATAACTCTCGAGTGCGCCTCAAACCCAAGCCTAAACTGACACCCAAAGTACAGAAACTTCTTAATCGAGAAGCAAAGGGTTATACACTCAGTTTTAAAGAAACAAAAATTGTGAAAAAGTACAAAGACTCCAAAAGTGAATTGGTAAGATGCTGGTTCCAATATTGTAAATAAATTAGAATTTTCTTATTCTTTAAGTAATATTGGTTAACTATCAGCCTAAATATAGCTTAGAGATTGTAGGAGTCTATTTGGGCTAGCAGAATATATACTTAAAATACCTTTCTAGTGATTATTGTTTGTTTCATAAACAGCAAATATTTTTCTTTTTCATGATTACTTAAAACCAAACACTTTAAGTTCTCAAAATAGTTCTCAGCTCTCATGTTGAACACGATTATTACAGATCTGAAAGCAAATAATTTTCGTAAATTGAGGTGATGAGTATGATTTTGCCTGAATTGCAGTTGTCACTAGATTATATTTTCAGTTAATGGCCCTTTTCTTCAAACAGTTGTTCCGACTTATAGTGACCCTGTATAGGGTTTCCGATAGTGGCTGGTGGGTTTGAACTGCCTACCTTGTGATTACCAGCTCAGTACATATCCTACAGTGCCACATCAGGACACCATAGAAGGAGAAATGACTGAAGAAATGACACTGGAACTTAATACAGAAAATACTTCAAACAGTTTTTGTTGTTAGATGCCATCGAGTTGGCTCTGACTCACAGAGACTCTGTGCACAACAGAACAAAATACTGCCCAGTCCTGTGCATCCTCATAATGGTTATGCTTGAATCCATTGCTGCTATCACTGTGCCGATCCCTCTTGTTGGGGGTCTAACTCTTTTTGGCTAACCTTCCACTTTACTAAGCATGATGTCCTTCCTTAGGAACAGTAGCATATGTTAAGTACAGTGTCATTTCTCCCTCTAGAGTGAACATGAGAGCATCTTGTATTCATTCACTGAAGATTAAGGGGCTATCATATGTCAAGTAATGATGAGTCCTAGTTGGCGTTATGGGTTAATGCACTGGACTGCAAGATCAGTTGGAACCACAAAGTTGGGGGTTCAAGCTCACCAGCTGATCCTTGGAAACCCTATACAGGGTTGCTATGAGTTGGAACAATGGTTGAGGGTGTAAAATAGAATAAAACAACCAAAATCAAATTAGGTTTTTTGTATGAAGGGTAATATCAGATATTTTATGTTCTGCATACCCTATATGTCAACCATTCATCAACTATTCAAGTGCCTGCTTACTGCTAGTAGGCATTGGATATTTATTATACAGCTTATGTCTGGCCCCAGACTACCATCAGTAAAAACCTAGATTGAGAACGGTCATATTTAAGAGTCTGTCAACATTGCACAAGTAAGTGCATTTTTGTTTTTGTCTTAAAATTGACTTTAAAGAGGAAGTTGGAAGTGAGTAGTGTTTACCTTTCTTAATCCATGTAAAACTTTTTTTTTTTAATTATTGCCATATATTGGAACATATTCTTAAATGGAAGGTAATAAATGCTGTTTTATCAATCCTGGCAACCATGGAAAATGTCATTGGTATGGTCGTGTTTACCTCTTATTGACAATTGGTAAGTTCAGCAAGCATGCTTTGCCTAGCTCTTCCCTAGCCTTGGTGCAGGCAACAGCTAAAGTCAGAACCTGGGAGTGCAGTGAATCTGTAGGATAAGCTCTGGATTGCAAACTACAAAGTCAATGGTTTGAGCCTACCAGTTGCTCTAAGGGAGAAAGATGAGGCTTTCTGCTCCGCAGATTTACAGCCTTGGAAATCCTATATAAAATCAGAACTGACTTGTTAGCACTTAACAAGAAGAAAACAAGAACATAAACTACACTTGTCACCTGTGACTGCATATATAGACGTTCCAAAAATTTTGTGGAAAATGGAATTAAAAGATAATGCAATCATTTTGAAGCCTCTTCATATAAAAATATCTTAGTGGTTTATTTTATCCCTGGTGCTATAGAAAAAACACTGGACCACAAAGTCGGTTCAAACTGCAAAATCATGGTTCAGATTCCCCAGCTGCACCTCAGAAACCCTATACAGGAACTCTATGAATCAACTTAATAGCACCAATCAACAAAGATGGGTCGAAGGGGTTACTTCTTTCAAATGAGAGAATGTTCCTGAAATTTGACCTCTAGGGTACTCCTGTGGAGGAGAGAGAAAAGAAAGTGGCAAGTAGAGGGGAATGACATACAGGTGTCATGCTCTGGGCCAGGAGAGAAGACATGGATTCAAGTCCAGCTCTGCTGCCTACTGGCCAGATCTGCCTGGCAAGATGTTGAATTTGTCTTCAGAGTTTCTGCCCTCATGAAGCTTAATATTCTAATGTATTTTAATCAGAGCTCAACTAAAAGGGTGTGGGTGTGTTCATTTTGTTGATTTCCCTTTATAGTCAGCTTTTTTCCAAAAAGCATAGGGTAGCTTACACAGACCTTTGATATATGCAGATTTTCACTGGTGTTTTCATTGTATGAATACTACTCAGCTAAAGCAGTTTGTAATTTGCTAAGGCATGCACTAAATCCTGTGCATTCTGAGTCAGGTATGTGTAAGGAGAGCATTTAGCTAAAAAGGACCATTTCTTGAACAATAATCTTGAAAAGAAAGGTAAACTTTAGAGCTGATAGAAGTGAACAAGTATGGGACTGGTAACTTCATTTTATTGGTTTTATGAATTAGTGCAGACCTATATTTGCAGAATTGCTATGGGCTTGGAGAGAGTCACTTAAATTTTCAGTAATATTTTACCATGGTTTATTGTGAAAAGGCTTAAGATTCATCTGCAAAAAAAAAAAAAAATCTAAATGCTTGTCATTATTTTCCACACAGCTATTACTGACAACATCCTAGATGTTAAAGGTGTCATCCCACATTCTTCACTATGCCCCAAACATATTTTTACATTGAGAGATAGTCCTTAAAGCTATTTTATTAAATGTAAATGTTTAACCATTTTTTTATTATAGATTTTATAATTTAGAAAATGTGTCTTGTCTGATTTTTGCTGCTGGATTACAAATTCCCCAAAAGCAACTTCTGTAATAGTCACCCCTGTAAGACCTGGTGTAATCCTTAGACACATAAGAATTCAGTGAATGTGTGTTATGTTGGATTAAATTAGAATTTTTAACTTGTATTTCTTCTTTTTATGGTAGTTGATTACTTGTAAAACATGCAATAGAGCAGTTAGACATCAAGGTAAAAGTAGAAGCTTTCTATCATCATTGAAGGGCACGCCTAGCACTCCTTCAACTAAACCCACTGTGAAGACACCAGAGAGAAAGACTCCGAGCTCTGCAAACCGAAATCATG